ATTTTTTAAACGAGATCATTTAAATGTCGATTGGGATTATGTACAAGGTTCTAGTGAAGTTTAAATAAAAAGACTTTTATGAATTATAAAACATTAGATATCTTTTTTTCTCTTTGTTTAAATATATGTAATATGTCTTTTTATTAGGAGAGAAGAAAAATGATGCATTTAAAATCAAACATTTGTTATTAAATATTTGAACACAGCTGTAGACAAAGAATGAAAACTGAAGAGAATATTTAACTTAAATTGTTTTGTTGAAATCAAAGAAAAATAATACAATTGATAGTGACCTATGCCTGTTGTTTGTTGCTATATTTAACTAATAATAAAATCAATTAGTTGAGACTCTCAAATTGCTAATGCAGTAAACTCACCATTGTAAGAACCATAATAAAAGACCACATTTTTTTTCAATTTATTTTAGGTAAATGATTTCTCACAAATATATTATCTCGAATCGAATTATAGTGTCAAATAAACAGATATATAAATACATTCAAAACAAAAAATAATTTCTAACGTAAACTGAATTTCTTGGATTGTCTTTCATCTTTCTAATCATATTCTCATGTCCGAAGAGACTTTAGAAATTATGTATAATATCTGTAATGTTTTAAAGTTAAGTATTTTTATGGATTTTTGGATCACTAAATTTAATAATAGTGTTCTGGGAAACCATAGATTTATATTTTGAATAATCTTGTTTTTCGCATCTTTAGCATTGTTAAAAATCTCGAAGTCATTTATATCATTGGAAAATACATAATTTATTCCGCTTCATAGTTTTCTCCATGCTATGGAGTGCATTCTATATTAGGTTTTTTCCTAATATTTTTCAAATATATACATGACCTATTTTTCCCATTCTTTGCATTAATTTCTTACTAATATAGACGTTCTTTTCTCGTCATGACATTTTTCTGTTATTATTTTTCACTTATATATATATTCATTTCATTATTCTTTCTTTTTTGTAATTACTACTGATGATTTAATATATGCACATAGTTTCTTTTGTTAAATATAAGCTAAACTAAAATTTCAAAATCATACCACTTACAGATGTTAGTGGTTTAATAAATAGAGAATAAAAGTTTACAAAGTTTCAATATGTCGAACCGAAGAAGTATGTTTTAATTATGCGCATTGCAGAAAAAAACAGATTGAATTGCATAGTGCTCCTTTTTGAAATACAGTCAATTTTTTTTGTCAATAAACCATTATGTCTAATGATCAATTTGTATCCATTTCGACTTTGATTCATTCATAGTTTTGTTTTTGTCTGATACACTTCATATTGTAGCTGATAAAATCATTTGATGTCTTGATTTTCTCTTTTTTTTTCTAATAAAACAAACAATAACATCACAGACAAGCACATTGTTTCACAATAACATCTTTAATTGGATAAATTTCCATAGATCCATCGGTTTGTCGAAGAAGAAAATTATCATCAGAAAATTGTGATGGCACACAATTTCGTTGAGGAATATTAGAAAATTTTTTACCAATCATTGATTGTATTAATGCATAAATTGATGACCGTTGTAATTGTTGTTGAAGAGTCAAATTTGTACATGAATCATCACAATAAGTAAATGTATATTCTTTTGGTCTAATTATTAAATAAGCTAAACCGAGTTCTTCAAATTTAATTTGAATTGTTTTTATTCTACACATGGTTGTTTGTTGAAGATCATATGAAGATAATTGATTAAATTTTAATGATGATATTATTATATATGTATGTGATGTTTGACATGTTTGATTATTAATAATTGTTTCAATAATTAAATTTTGATTATTTATTTGTAAAAGATAATCATATATATTACGAACATAAAAATCTCGAATAGAATCAATTTCTAAATATGTATCGATTGAAAATAATTCAATAAATGTATGTGCTTGTTTTATTGAAATATGTATAGGTATTGAAGATTTTTTTAATTCAATATGATAAATAAGTTCAACAGACGATAAGGATCCTATTGAATGAGACCATTGAAATGATAATTGAACTTGATTATTATTTATTATTAAACAGTTTGTTGAATGTAATGTAAATGTTGGAGTTAAAGATAAAGGTTTATTAGTTATAGATCTACGTTTTCGATCTTTAACAAAAAAAGAAAGTAAAAGTTTTCAGACAAAAAAAAATAATTTTTAGGATACGAACTTTGTTCTACTTTCGTTGTTAAATGATGATTTATAATCATTGATTGAATAAGTGATGAATGAGAAATATTCAGTAAATCAATAAAATATTGTCTTAGAAAAAAATTACGATAAGAATTATTTGATAGAAATTCAAAATGATGATAAGTTGACGATGATAATGTTGTTATTGAATCAGAATAAGTAGAAGAAAATTTTAAAATAAATAAAATAAATAAAATAAACTCCCAAGAAATTTTTGTTTTATAAATAATATTAACAAAATTTGATAATAAAGATGCTTGAAACATTACACTTTTCTAATCATTAGAGATACACAACTGCTATAATGCTGTTGTTGTTGAAAAAATTTTATAGATATAATTAAATCTATATTCATTACGGAAATAATTCTATGTCAATGGACATTGAATTTTAAAAAGAATCAAAATTTTTTAATGTTTTATAGAAAGAGAATATGTTTATAATACTAAAATAAAAATAGTTATGAAACAAACAAATGTAATACAGAGGTACTTAATATTTTTGTCTGGAGGAAAAAAAATTTTAAGTATGAAATAGCAAATCTCCTATGCAAAATATGTCTATTCTAGTTTAATCTTATCATATGTAAGGGAGAATCTGTCTGATGTATCTATGTGCAATTATTCAAAGACGCAAGAGAAAATATCATAGAAATATATTCAGGTTTTGTCGGCTGCAAATAACGAGATGACCAAATATTCAAGAGAAAAAATAACTATGTACTGTACGGCCTTTTTCACCTTTCATAGTGAACTATGATTATAAATAATAAAAATAATACTGCCCTTTAACACATACAGCAATATTAAACATTATGCTTTTTGATATTTCGAGATTCATACTCTTGGAAAATAAAATAAATAAGAACAGAGATTGGATAAGAGTCTGTATGTTTCGAAAGAAACAAAAAAAGAAAATGAAGCACCGATTTATAAGTCAAATGATAATAGTTATTTTCATACATGTTATCATTCATTATCTGCTTTCTTCGATGTACATTAAATGAAGCCGTAGCCAACACATTATTCTTTTTTTTTCTGGTTTGTTTTAGAACACAAGAAAATGATATAAAAAAATGTTGTTATTCCTTTTCTTTTATTGTTTATACTCTTATATATTACTAATTATAGAATACTATCGAGAGTATTTACAATTGAAAAATAATACTTTATCTGCATGGTTAAAGTCAATATTAAAGTATAAAAAATGATAAGAGAAAAAAAAATCATTCATTCGTATTTTTAGCTGAATATGTAAACCTTTTTTTTATTCATCATTATTCTTTAAAAACCAAGTTTTACAAGTGTACAATAGAAAAATAAACGTGAAGGAATTTGTATTCTCAAAACAAACAAGTAGCTTTCATCATACATTAAATAATTCGAAGTCAGTCTGGAATTTGAGTCTTTGTTGGTATTCGTCTGCGTATTTATGGTGTAACTGAAATTGAATTCTCTTCTTTGTTTTTTTTTATTGATAATTTATATATACTGAGAAGGTGCAAATTTCATTGTATCACTTGATATATTAATGATAAATAGCACATAAAGTTCAGCGAACAAAAAACCACTAGATTGTATAACACTCGGGCATTTGCCACTCTTTTTACTTCTATATGTATAAACAAATATTATTTCAACTATTATCGAAATGTTTATGGAGATACACAGATTGATAAAAATGAACTTTTGAATACTCAGACAAGAAGCGAAGCTGTATGAGCTAAATCATTTATTAAGAATGTGTCTTCACAAAATTAAGATATGTGTATCTCAGAATAATGAACTTTCCTGCAGCTAATTTTTCTACATTACATATATGATAAGTTATTCCAGATATCTTGAATAATCGACTGTCATTTCATTCATTTCAATTCAAAAAAGCTCTGCATTGAGGAAGTATTCTTGAAAACTCAACAGTACATTATGTAGACAAGTCTTGGGACCATAAAATTTCTATCCGAAGTTTTTTTTTCTATGCATACCTACATTTTTCAAAGAAAGCGATTTATTTTTCGGTAGTGGCATAATGGAATACGAAACAATTCTCTTATAATCAAATGAAAAGTTCAAAACCAATTAAAAATCTTTCTTTCGAATTTCTAAATGCTGGTAAGAGACACCTTCTTTAGGAATGCTTAAAAAACAAATAAGATTTTTTTGAGTTTTTTTTTATGGATTAAAAATCATTTGTTTGTATTGAATAATCATAAGTATTATTCTATTAATATTATCGTTTCATTATAAGTTTATTACTCATGAAAAAAAACAGTAATCTTTAAATAGCTATTTGTATGTAAAAATAGTCATTTGTAAATACTTAAAAAATAAAAAGAATCATGTTAAACAAAATTGATTCAAGACAAAAATATTCATTCAATGTTTTTGAAGTTTCAAAGCAACTAGAGAAAAATCTAGAAAATATTTGTGTTATTAGCCTTCATAAAGTAAGCGTATTTTCATCAAACATAAAGGATAATTCTACTTGCTTGAAACTGAATGATGAGTTCTGGCGTAAGAGTTCATCAGGTCCAAAATTTTCAGAGCCAAACCTGGACTCAGCCGCGTCTGAGATCAACCCAACGAGTTCCAATTAGTTTATATTTTAGCATGAGTGATCTATTTCGGATAAAAGTTATCATATTGCTGTGATTTTTTGGTGTTCTATTTACGTTCAGTGAAAGAATTTTCAAATTTTAATTTTATTTCGATGTAAAACTATTTCTGTTTCTTTTAGAGGTCTAAGTAATTGTTCATATTCATATATATTTGCGAATGACAGCTTCAACATTTCTTTTACATATCGGACATAATTGAAGATAATGACCACAAAGAATACATAACTAAATGACCACAAGGTACGCAGACAAGACGCTTCTCTTCTTTCAAACATACAGTACAAAGACTTGATGACGGTTGTGGTGCAACTTGTTGATCGTTCACATTCATTGCTCTTCTGATATGCTGTGATGAGGTTGTCATTTCAGCAACGGTGTTATTTCGAGAATTCGTTAATGATATTTCATGAGTCATGTTTCCTAAAAGATTATGAGACTGAGTTCTCGATAATATATTAGTTGAACTACGAAGCTTTGCTTGTTCTCGTTCATGAATCTGGTTTACTTTTACATTCGGAATGATAATATTTTCTTTTTTTCCATTAATATGTTCAATGTGTTTTTGAAGAATCATACAAGCCACTAGAAGATCAGAATCACTGACAAAATCATCATCTAACATAGGAATCAAATAGAGTTTCATTTACTTTTTTTGCAAGGAACGAAAGAAAACAACTATCTTACGTTTCAATTGGAATTGATCTTTATAGCAACGTTTGATGATTGATAAGTGGAAGCCTCGAGCAATCAAGCTTTTTGAGACAGACAAATCGAGCCGACTTCTAATATGAGATGAAAAAGTGACTTCATCGTCATCAATGTCGTGTCCTTGAACAAAAAAAATTATCAATTTTTTTCGTGTTTGTTTATCAAATAAGCTATACTACCTTCGACTCATTGAATGTTTCGATACAGCTCTAGGTCACACAGCTCTTTAGCAAATGCACAATATGGAAACAATCGAGCATGTTCAGTCATTGGATTAGCGTTTGCTTCGAGATTCTGTAATGATCCATTACAATAAAAGCATGTCACAATAGTTTGAGTGCCAGTATAAAAAAAAGCCAGCACTGACCAGATCATCAATAGATGGCAAAGTTTCATTCGGCCATTCATGAAAAGAACCACGACGGCTAGAGGTTCCAATATACTATGTATGGCATGCAACAGGATAAAGAATCTCATTACTCTGCCATGTATCATTATTTGTCGTCACTATAGGGTTATCTGTCGTTAGCTATTCATTAACAAAATGAATTGATGATATTGGTTGATTCTTTAACATCGCAATAACATATGGGCATATAGGAGAAAGTATTTTATGTATTTCACATGGGTCATCAGTATGCGGTGTCCATTATTGACAAATGATATTACAATACAAACAAATGACACGATCACAAACATTACAACTGAAAAGCCCAGCTTCAATCATTCGTTTACTTGAGGGTGAAGTTTTATGTGGCCAATTTGAAAAAGTTCGTTTTCGTATCTGTTTAAGTATGTCAATTTTGAGGAGTCTATATGGCTGAGTAATTTCTTCTGTAGCTTCATTTTTCTGACGTTTAGATGGCTTTTCATCATCCATTAACGCTGAAGTCGTTGCAAGTAGATTCATCTTTGATGGTGCAGGAGCTATTCCATTGGGCATCAGAGAACGAACAAATGCACATTTGGGGCTACGTTGTGCATGAATAGTAAATGGCTTCATATATAATGTCCATTCCGACACTTCTAGTTCACAAGTATCACAATGGACTGTGTCTCCGTTGCCCGTATAATTGAATCCAGCTGCAGTCATACTCATAGTAGAATGCACACCTTGTTTTTGTAATAATGCTCTACATGTTTGTATCACTTGGCGAAAATGGTCAGCCTTTTTAGAACAGACAGGTTGTGAAAAGTCACTTTCTTCTTTTAGTGAAGACGTAATCGAAGGACATGGTGTCATCGAAGTTGAAACCTTATCACTGACTAGTCCTTGACGAAGACCGCACTGTATATCAATTGAATGTTTCATTTGGCTCATTTCTGAATCGTGGAATCCTATAGAACAAGTCTTAGTTTTAGAATTTCGCGGAACGATGATGTTTTCTTTTATATTCTTCTACGTTTGACTATTTAGTTTGATTAGAAAAGGCTACAATGATATTCTTTTTTTTTTTGATTGTTCTACCTATTCATTTAGCCAAGATGTCAATAGATATTATCAAAATATGATTTCATCTTACCAAACTGATGATTGATCCTGGTTTAGAAAGTGTTTTGTGAAATTAATTTATATTCTTGTTGTCTATTGACTTCCATGAAATCTATTACCTAACTTAATATTGTTTCGTTAACAAAGCTAACTGCATATAAAATGTCGACAAAGAATTTTGAAGCATATACATCGATCATTTACTTCAGAATTCGTCTTTACTATTTTTTTTAGTAGTAGAAACATACAAATGTCATGATTTCGAATGTTTTTGTTCTCTCACTACCAAAAAATTGTGAAGGAAAGAAAAATAAATAAATAATGCGCATTCGTGAATCACAATTACGTGTTTACATTTCACCTACAGTCTGTTGACGTCAGCTTCATTAACGAAACGTCACTAAATTTAAAAATAAATTAATAAAACAAAGAGTAAAAATTAATTATACAAAAATTTACAAATGTCCTTCTTCAGCAATCATTAATAGTTATTCAATACGCAAAAAAGATGTTGTCTAGGAGCTTAACTGCAGGAAAATGACTCTTTTCATCTCATAGTATGTTCGATATTATGACATCACATGCAGCATGTGAAATATCCAACTAAGTCTATTAAAGGAAAAACAGCACACCACGATAACGTCGACAACATGAAGTGGGGAAAAAATCATTAATGTAAGGATGAAGGCTATCGCTTGTGTTATGTCAAATGATTGTTGTTGGAAATTTCCAAGCGTTATAGTCATTGCAAATATCGAAATATATACAGGTATACGAAAGATAATAGTGCTTGCATGTTGTAGAATACGTTTATTTGAGCTCTTTTCTAGTCATGATGGTATACGAATACGAGTGATCAAAATTTGAACAGAGACTGCAAAGCTAGCGTTTTCATGAAGTAAGAGAACGAAATGAAATTTTTATTTACAAGGAACAATCGATTTCAGTACAAAAATATCAGTCTTATCGTTTTATAGAATAAAAACTTTGATTGTCGTATCAAATAATAAAAGATTCTTATTACTGTTAAATCAAAATATTATCAATCGGTTTTGAAATCATTCTATTCAAAGTATATTTAATCAATGTATTCTTAGTTAATTATTTTCTAGATGAGCTATTCATTTGGATAGATATTTGTTACATTTATTGATCAATCGTATCAGATCATTTTGAAAAAAAAAATACTGTTCCTTCATTTTTAAAGTTCGTCCTAATATGTTGTAATACGTTTTTCTTTGATTCTATGGTTTTTTGGCAACAAATGCAAACTATGAGACAAAAGCTACTGAATTTGTGCAGTAAAATGATAAGCATTCATGTCGATAAGAAATGTTGTGTTAGTGGTCTGGGTTGTCGAGACCTATCTGAGTGGGATTTTTTTCTATTAGTTACTGTTAGAAGAAGTCTGGGTACTTTTTCGATGGGGAGAAGGGCACGATTTCATTCCCCTTATTTCATGATGAGAGACCAAAAAAAAAGAGAATTTCCCATTTCTCATTATCCGTTTATATTTATGCCCAAAGATGCACGTCCTTTGCACTATTGCAAAAGACGAAATAAAGATAGATTTTGCTGTGTACACAGGGACGAATATTGGCCGTGACACAGATATAAAAGGTTAGTTACGCGAACAAGTTTTTTCTCCCTTGAGTAATTGGATTCAACTTTCAAGTTTGATATGTATGATAGATTCACACGTAGAGAAAAGAAAATGTTATAAGGTAGGTATGATGTTTTTTGAGATTTAGTCGTATTTTTTATTTCTGTCGGAGAGAGCTTGACGTTTTTTTTATTATGGAATGGGGGAGAGTATTCATTGAAGCCAAACGTCATCCAGATCTTCATTATTATTCACACCATCAATCGCTCCATATCTTCGCTCTTACATCCACCTCATTCTTATCAAAGATAGTCTTCTTTTGTCGTAATTTTTCTCTGATGCATTCGTTGTGAGTATATTTCATTTACTCAACTTTTTTTTCGTTCTATGTTATGTTAAGAAATAAGTATTAAGAATTTCTTCTTTTAGATGCAATAGATTTCAATTAACATAGTTGATTTGTTGTTCGTATGATAGATTCAAATATATTTTTTGGCTATCTATTTGTTCGCAACGAATTGTGAGTTTATTTTTTTCTTAATCCATTAAATTAATTTATGCCTCGTAGTAAGAAATGCTTTTCTTTTAAGCATATCATTATGAGTACTGTCAAAGAGATTTCACTTCATTTGTCAATACTAAAGCTAATTAAGCTTAGTGGCATGATGATTACTGTCAATGGAATCAAATTTTATTAATTTTCTAAGTATTATATAAAATCTTGCAAGTAAATTTTTTTTCTATGGTTAAACTTTATATAGATGTCAATCACGAAGAGATTCGATGGTTTGATTGATGTTCTTATTCTTTATTGTCAAATAAATAATTTATCTTATTACAATGTCTTCGTAAATTTCATATGTAAGTAAAGTTTGTTAATTTTTGACTCAGATTTTCAGTAAAGAGAACGTAGCTTCCAAATTGCGAACAAAAATTAAGCCAATTAAGAAAAAAGTGTTCGCAATTTGGAACACAAAAATAACGTTGATCTTATTTTTATTGCGTTTCCAAATTGCGAACACTTTGATTAATTAGTTATTGCAATAGCTGATTATGAGTTCAATTTTATTAATAATATAAATATAGAAGTTTGAGAATAAGAATGGTATCATTTCTTTTTATTTGATAAGTCAACACAAATTTGCCATTTGAATATATAATAATAAATGAGAATAATGATGAACGAAAATAAATAATAATATAATAAGTTTTTTTTTCTTGTTATTATTGTATATTCTTACAAATAATAAAAATATTTAAAAACAGGAAAAAAATTATTATATTATTTTTTATTTCCGTTCATTATTATTCTCATTTATTATTATATATTCAAATGACAAATTCGTATTGACTTGTCAAATAAAAAGAATTAAAACTATATTACTTAATTAATCAAAGTGTTCGCAATTTGGAAACGCAATAAAAATAAGATCAACGTTATTTTCTGTGTTCCAAATTGCGAACACTTTTTTCTTAATTGGCTTAATTTTTGTTCGCAATTTGGACATAGCCAAAGAGAAGTATGAACACTACTATGACTTTGATTTCATGTTGAAAAATACCAGAACATTTACCGAAATGATGATTTAGTATTAAATATTCGTGGATTTTCTTTTTATTAAGGAAAAACCAATAAACTAGTCAATTAATACTTATGACAAAAATAATTTATGTTTTCATTTCTGAACACTTGTGTTCTTGAAAAACCAGTGTTTGTCATAGACACCAAGGTGAAGCACGTTCTCTTTCCAGTACAGTGCGCTAAGTGTTTTTTTTACGAATAATTAAGCTTCATTTTGCACAGTCATCATGACTTGGTCTGTCTTACGCATACAGTCGTTCTCTGTAATTAATATTTATATTATTCATTGAAAACCACTGTAATTATGTTTCATTTTCATTCGTTTTTTTTTCATTTTACTCATAATGGATCTATTCTTAACTTTAATTGAATAGATTTGCATAATGTTGAAATTAAACTAAATGATTCAAAAGTATTTAGAAAAACTAATTGAAGCAACTCATAATATGTAAAATAGATCGTGATACAACTTTGTTGTACTTTTATTTAATATAAGTCATGTATTAATAGTAAATGATTTTCGACTGATTGAGTTCGAAGATATTTTCTAGGTATAATTTCATGTTTGTCTAATGAATATTTCGACATATCCTTATATGGAATATAAACGAAATACGTAATATTTTCAATTAATTTTTTTTCTACTATGACGTCGTTTTGTATTCATATGTACATGGCTATTTGTATTCAGAAGACTTCAAAAGTTGCAGTTGTACACATTGAGAAAATTATGACGATGTTTTTGTGACTCTTGCGTTGTTTTAAGAGAAATGTCTTGTTCTATGTGTCTTTTTTATGGTTTTCATTTAGTATTTGTTAATGTCAACATTTGCATAATGGATGAAGTTTTCAATATTTCGACAAAAACTACTTCCAACATAGTAAAAATGCAATAAAATTCTATCTGTTTTGTAAATATTGATATTGATATATAAAGAGAGAAAAAAACATAAAAAGAAATAAAAGAGTCATGGTTGCTATTTCCTCAATTAATTTTTACTATTTATAACTGAAACTTTTTGAGGTATACTGAAGAGGAAGTGATGTACCAATAGGGTCGATGTTAGTAGGAAAACGGATATGTTTCATTTACGTATTTTACTCGGAACAATATTTGCTGTCGATTTTTCTTCTAGTTATACATTTTGAATCATGCGTATAACATATTATTATTTACCATTCTGTTTATCATATAATGATTCACTTTCATATAGATCTGTACCTTTTAGTACGATCGTAAAGTATGCACTATTTCGAAAATAATCATGAGCGTTACCTTCATCATAAAAAACACACCCACGAATTGATGTAATAGAGTGTCATAAATAAATAAGCACGAATATTGCAGTGAATAATTTAAAGTATCATGAATCCTTAATCTTACTTAAAAAGAAAGCATTCGAACTAATACGAATTACTTTAGCTTATATTGAACTTATAAGACATCTTGGCAATATTAGAAACAGTTTAAAAGAGTGTGCCTCTATGGTTCTTTGAAGTCAAATTATGATCATGCTACTTAATTTCCATCTACCTGGAGGTATGTACCGGAAAAAAACAAACTCTAGAAATTTGTCGTACACTTTTGTTTATAGTTAGATCTAATGATCTATAGAATATCCACAGAGTTTCAGCTGAAATGAA